ACTGTTATCTTCATCAGCTTTGTGTATAAAAGTAGACAGTGGCACATGTAGGAATATAACCATTCATTTATACATAATAACATCTTGATAAATTAATAGCCTGCTGTTTTGTCATTTTTTGAATGCCTAAAGGATCACAGAGCTGCACCTATATTTGAAAACCCAGCCTGCTGTAAAGGTTGTGCACAGTAAGGACGACAGCAGGTACCAGTCAAGAGTCACAGCTATCAAGTCCCAAATCAACTACAGTTTTCTTTGCTACCGATTTATGAATAAGTACTAAGAATGCAAGAGCATTAGAAAAGAACATCTAGTTTTACAACTCTACTGACCCTTCTTTTCAGCGCTTTCAAAATGGCATACACAAATGCCCAGGTACATTGAAACAAGCAGCTTCCAGTCCCCAAAGTTCTGGAATTAAGAGTTATAGACAAGAACTATCCTGTCTGCTGAAATCACAGTCTGTCCATGCAAGAGTTATTTTCAAGTACTCCAAGTTCAAGGCAAGCACTGATTTTCCATAAAATTTCTGAGATTTAAACAATCCAAACGCTTTTCTTAGTTTAGCCTCAGCTGTTCATAAAGATTCCATAAATATGAGCTGTGTATTTATTCATTTCTGTGCACTGCTCCATCACAGCTGAAAGAAAGCATCAAAACTGCCCTTCACAAAAGATATATTTTAGCCTTCAACACACAACCCACGAGATCAGTAAGACCTATTCTGCAGTACCTGCAATGCTCTCGCAGACAAAGGCCCATCTTCAACCAAAACCAGACCTGGTATAAAATACTACCATTCAATAAAAAATCATTACTTGGTCCCTAAAGTAGCCCCTGAAGTAGAGAGCTGTGGTGAAAATTTATCAGGCATTTTCCTCCAAATGGAATATATGCTTCAGTACCCTAAAAGGTCTGGAGTACATGAAATTTTAAAGGGATTGTTAATGTCTTTCTAGGTTTTATAATACCACAAACAGATGCTCATCATGTGCTATCACCACAGCAGATAAATGCTAATGCCTGTAGTACACAACACTTTCAGAGTGGTTTTGAATACAAGACATCTTCTACTCTCTTGGTGGGCAAATTAATGGTATCAATAAATTTTGTAGTATCTCCAGATAAGACTCTTTACCTTCACAGGCGAGCCTGAAATCCATGAGGTACAGAAAGGACCACAAACAACTTATGGCATGGATTCCCTGAAAGGTTAATCTGCTCTGAAAAATGTAAAATGTCAAAGGCCTGGGAACTCTCATATGTGAGCCCACATCTTGATGTGGGAAAAGTCTGTGGAAGATCCTAAAGGTCAGATGTGAGGGTCCCCCTTATCAACAAGGTCATGTGTTAAGTTAAACTGAAACCAGGAGAAGCGCACTACCTGGAACCACGAGCACCACTGTGATTACAGTAAATATATCCTTTAAAGGGCAAGCCATTTTAAAAGTGATGTTTAAAAGAGATGTTTATCAGAATAAAGAATTATGCACATTAGAAAAGTTGTTCTTAAGTAATCTCCATAAATATTTCCAATGTCATGAAAGGTAAAGCTACTTATAAAAAACTATCTAGTCATAACTATTCATCTGTAGTTATTTCTGATTGGAAATTACTTTTTTAAAGAGATCCAATAAAACAAAAGCAAAACCATGTAACCTTTCTGCCTATTTTAAACTGGTCAACCACGTATTTACTTTTGCTACAGTAAGAAAATGCTGCCAATTTTATCTTGGGATATTTTGCTTTGTTTAGAAAGAAATGATGATTCAGAGCCTGCTTATCTTTTAGGAGAGATATGTGAGAAAAATACCATTATCTCTCTTTGTAAGGGGGTCATGCAGGCATTAAAATACATCCTCGTATTTGAGCTAAACAAACCTTAAGCAGACATGCACTGACTTGGATAAGCTTGAGAACTGAAAAGGAAATTCCACTAGAATTACTTCAGACTTTTTAGTTTTTGGTTTTGTTTTCATTTTAGGAGGAGTTTTTGACCATGCACAATCCCCCTTCAACCTACTCCTACCTAGGTTATCTGGCAGGTTCCAGTTCCTTAATCCACAAGCCTGCTAAATCTACTGCTTCAAATTCTTTTCTGGCAGCTGTAGCACGCTATGATGTGCCTCCTGGAAGCACACTGGTAACTGTTTGTCCAGATAAGTTACTTAAACAAATTGTCTTTCTTTTGTATAATGTGCTGAAGTTAACAGCAGCTGAGGCTGTTCACTTATGGGACAGTGCCCTGAAGCAATATTATAAATACAACTTGAGCTGAGTTTTGCAAGGTGTGATCCTGTGTTTTTTGTGCTCAGCATAGCACTTGTGGGCTCCTGGCAGGAGGTTTATGCAGTGATGGTGCCTCGACACTAATGCCAATGCCCTGGGAATTGGTAGGAAACAGCCTCCCACTATACAAGACTACAGTTTGACCAGTGCTGCTTGAGCATGGAACGGCACTTTCTCAGTAGGTGGATCCACGCTGTCCTGGTCAATTTAAAGTCATTAAAGGAAAGCCAAGCTTATTCACAGTGCTCTTCCCAAGTCCAGCAACACTACTCATTAAAACAGGCAAACCCCCCAAACTTTCATTGGAACAATGTCAGCATTCCCATTTTCCCATGTAAGGGACACTGATAAGATTAAGGGCGGCAGAATGCAAAGCACTAACACAGCTCTCAACACAGACTTCAGCACTGTTGAGCAGCTCTTGGGTGGAGAGCGAGTTGCTTTGATTTGGTCATGTCTTGTCTCCCTCTGAAGCTAAACCCTTCCAAGAGACTCCAACAGGTGCAGTGTGGAAGATAAAGGAATGAAGGAGTAGTTGCTATCTGGTTTCCACGTTCATAGAGGAGCTCCTTACCCCACTCTTCAAGCACACATGAATGAAGGTCACTGTCCTGCTTTTTTATGATTTTATCACTCAGCTAAATATAATGAATGTAATGCCTTCCTTTTTAAAAAAGGCAAGGTCAGACAAATGGGCATGAAAATAAGCATATATTCTACAAAGGCCAGGTTTCAGCGTCTTATACTTTGGATACACCTAAGGTAATCAGCCCAAGAATCTGAAAATCAAAGGATTTCCCAAGGTGAAGAAAAGTTTGTGCTTTTCAGAAGCTTCAAGTGGCAGCCCACAGCTTGGTCCAATTCCGGAGGTCAGATCCTGCTTCTTCAACACCAGCTGAGACGCACCCAGATATTCTATGGTTTGTTTCTTGAAAACTAACACAATTGCCCAGGGAACGGGACACTTTCCCCATTAATTCAGGAAAAGTTTTGTCTTGCAAGAAACCCCTATCAGAGAATCATAGAATGGTTTGGGTTGGAAAGGACCTTAAGATGATCCAGTTCCAACCCCCTGCCATGGGCAGGGATGCCTCACTCTAGACCATGTTACCCAAGGCTCTCTCCAACCTGGCCTCGAACACTGCCAGGGATGGAGCATTTACCACTTCTTTGGGCAATCTGTGCCAGTGCCTCACCACCCTCGCAGTAACAAACTTCTTTATATCCAACCTATCATCAGAACTTAATTTACTGATTTATTTTGTAAACCTTGTGTTGTAACAAAAATGTAAGCCTGATATTGGAAATGAATGATGTTTTGTCTTGCTAAATGTTGAACCATATATAGATTAGTTTTATGAGGCTTCCATCACAACAAAAGGCCCTTTTTATTAATGGCTACTTTATCATTTCAAACATGTATGTTTAGTTACTTGAAATGGCAAATTGCTTTGCACTGTCCTTGAAGTGCATTGTATAAATATTATATTAAAGCCTTAGCTTACACTTCATAAATAATTCATTTTTAAAATACTCTTCCATTGGATCACCAGTTGCTGAGATGTTAAATTTTTCTGGTAAAAACATGTATTTATTGCAAGTCTTATTTTAACTTGAAGATTTGCTGAAAGCCACATGTGATAGATGCTGTAAGAACTGTATTCCAACTAAAACCTCAGGAAGCTAAAAGCCTCATATTCCTTGTGGGTTTAATACCTTTGCATAAGCAGTTTCAGTTGCAGGGGAAAAGCTGAAATCTATTCAAGGAAATTTTCAAGTACAATTTTCTGATAATCTGAAAATGACTTACGGTATATTTTGTGATGATCAGAAAAGGTAATAGATTTCATTGCATTTCATTTCACTACAGTCCTCCCTCTGCCATTTCCATTTCATGTTACTGCATTTAAACTGCTGTACAAACTTGTTCAAAGTGCTAGACATTAAAAAAAATCAAAGGAAATTTTAGATAATTAACTTTGATGAATGAGCAGATTTCAGTTCATGCCTGGTAATATTCTTGTTAATGACATGTCTGCTTAGGACATCCATTAAAAGTCCATTAACTTAACAGGGAAAGTCTAATAAAGTTATCCTGGAAATTTTCTGGTATATTAACATTATGGACTTTTAATGAATATCTGCTGTAGGAATTACTATTAGCAAGGCTACCATTCTAATTAAACTTAGGCTCCAAGAGAGTGGAAAAAAAGGGTATGAAGATAGCAAGCACAAGTAGCACTTCTCTTGAAACTACTGTAAGGGAGATGGGTACAGGTTGCAAAACCTGCTGTCAGTAAGAGCTATAAATTACTACATTGTGGGGTTTTTTTTTGGAGCCTGCCATTCCCTACACCCATATCAAGTATTTCCTTCATGGAATCAGTTGCTGAGGCTCCCATTTACTTCTCTGCTGTTGAGACTGAGCAGTACTGAAAGGCTTGCTAGGCCTTTCAGAAGGGTACAAGTTAGAAAACTGAAACAGAGATTTTCATGACAATGCAAAGTATAAAGTGCACTTAGGAAAGCTGTCACCTATGGTATCCAACCTTGTTATGAACCCCTCTGAAGCTTCATCAAGTCCTGCTACATTCCTCCTGACATTCACAGTAACACAGAAAAAGATCTTTTTATGTGTATGTATCTTTTAATATATATATATATCTTTATATATATGTACATAACTTTTTAGGTATAGGTACAAAACATACCTATTTTTTCATACTTATCCTCTACCAAATCTTCCAAACCAATCATTTTCCAGAAACTGTCATCCCAACCTTTATCTGAGGTATACGTCCACTTGCACACCACTGTACAGAGGGACCTAGAAAAGAGACAATACAGGCACAGAATGAGGCAAATGAACACAATTTGGTTTAAAACTTGTGACTAGAAAGAAGTTTGTGCAAAATCACCTCTTCATTCACTGTCAAAATTTCCAAGCATAATGCTAGCACTAAAGAAAAAGTTGGTTTCTGTTTGGAGTGTATGTCCTGAAGACCTTAAAAGGATCTTATGTTTAAGATTCTTCTCTGCTGAAACAACTCCTCCTCTGGCCACTTCCTTGCATAAATCAGTCAAATAACAGGCCATGCATATGCCTAGAAGACAGCATAGCATGAGCATAACAGCTCTTTAGCAAGCAGCTCAGAGAAAGATTTTGGCTTTTCCAGGCTCTACCTAAACAGCAATGTTTTGCACAAGGTATGTCCTTAGGAAAACATGCTATTAACTTATGTTCAAGCTGCATTACAATTTACAGGAGATTATGGCTACACTGATAATTAGGTGAAATGGCACTGCTTCAATGCCTATAGGTACAAAATGCCTTTATCAAGTGAATATGTATAAGCAAGTTCACATCCAGCTAGCAGAGCTCCTGCACAGGATGTGTTCAAGTACCAGTCCCCTGAGGTTTGCATTTCGGCAGAAGCTGACGGCAGTTCAGTGACACACTGAAACAGCATTAGCCATGGAGCCACTCAATGCAGAATTAAGTTCTTGTTTCAAGTCTCATTCCTGCTAAGCTGATGCTGAACTTAACTGTGACAACACAGGGCAGACTTCAGGAGCAGAATATGAACAAAAGACAAGAGCACCTGTAAAAATGTCTATCAGAACAAATAAAATGGGGTTCTCCTTTTTATTCCCAACCTCTCAGTACCCTCAAAACACTAATAACCGTACTGAGGATTTAATGTTACACAAACTGTTTTCTGTCTGAACACTACAAAGTATCTCAAAAGATCAGTACTAAATTCTGCCTAAAGTCAACAAACCAAAAGGTATTAAAAATGTTGAATACCACTGAAAAATTTAGCTTCCTACAGCCTTGGCCATGCTACAGTACCATCAAGAGCAAGACATCTCAGATGCATCTCAAGGAAAGAACACCATAACAGTTCTTGAAAGAGAAACCCCTTTCAGAGATGGATTTACTTTGATGTCTTACAAGACAGCTTATTTGAGACTCATTTTCAGCCAAGGTGTGCTTTCACAGATGTATTATTTTCATTAGGATGAATATGTATATTCAAATCAAACTGGATTCTCACAGGGTGGGACAGTTAAAAGGCACTGTTCTCAATACACAACTTCCTGAGCAGAAGATGCTTTTCTGCATCCAGGATAAAAATGTGTATTTCAAATGCATCATGTTTCACTGTTCTTTTGGAATGACCAGGGGTTTACAGCCAGAGGCGAGCTGATGTCCATCTGCAATCCTACTGTTTATAAAGGTGCACGTTTTGCTCTTTGCAATGAAAGAATTTATTAACATTACAGATTTGTGGGGGAAAGAAATAGGGATAACTACTTATACCCTTATAAACACTCTGAGCATTATTTCAGGGTTACTCTTCAAACAGTTTTGACACAGGTTAGGAATAGATCAGACAATTACAGTTGAGTGTCTGCTTTGAAATCAGAAAAGCACATGACCTGTAAGTGCAGCAATGACAGTGTTGATACAAGAAATTCCAATTTCCAAGGATTTAAAAGCCAGACACAGAAATCTAATTAGAACCTGAAGAAAATATTGGGGGAAAATAAATAAAAAATTCCTCAAACCTCTCATTGAAAGCAAAAATAAAGCCAGGATATTTGAAATAAAGATCATGCCACGGAATCATAGAATGGCTGAGGATTGAAGGGACCACTGAAGGTCATCTAGTCCAACTTCCCTGCTCAAGCAGGGTCACCTGGAACACATTGCTCAGGATTATGTCCAGATGCCTCTTCAGTATCTCCAGGGAAGGAGACTCCACAACCTCTCTGGGCAATCTATTCCAATGCTCAGTCATCACTTCACAAAAAAGTTGGACATGAAGAGTGAAACAATAACGCATCAAGTTTTCCCAAATACGGTAAATACCAAATAACAACAAATATCATCACAGCTCAACATGTATTTTTCTAATTAGATCAATGCTGTGAACTATTGCCACACACTGAAAAACGCTCTAAGGATGAGAGCTAAACGTCACAGCTCCCCACTTTCGAAGACCACAAAGCAATTCCTTCTGTCTCCATGCTTATCCAAAGAGAAACTGGAGCAGTCTTGCTGGTTGCCAAAGAGCATGTTTTAAACAGGGGCCAATTCTTGCATACAGCTCACTCTGAGGAACACCACATTAAATAGACAGGCCCACTGAGACAGAGTAAACAGGGCCAGACCAGCCCTTGCCAATCCACCAAATTCCAGCATATTTGAGCTCTCTCACTGGATATGGCTGGACTGAACATACCCTAGTATGAAATGGCAATGAGGCTGTGAGCATTTTCATCCTACTTGTGTAGATATACAAATGCAAAGCACTTACAGAAGAAGGATAGATGATTTCTGGTTGAATTTTTAAATACAATATAGAAAACACAAACTGGGAAGAACACCTCTTCCATATGAATTGGCAGATCTGTTGGTGGAAGGTTCTGATATGAAGATCAACCTCAAATCTGAACTAAAACGCTAACAGGTTTTTACTTCCATGGTCGCAAGAACCTCAAAATACTTGTTGTAAATGCAGTCCAAGCCTTTACATTTCTCTGGGATTTAACCTGCTTATTCCACCCTTGCCACCACTCATTGCCACCTAAAAAAGTACATGTTTAATTGAACAATATAGCTTTATGCACATCATTAATCTCTAAGATAAAGTATTATACTGCAGAAAGGCATTCTGGTCTCTTAGATAACAGTTCAAGAAAGGATTTGAGATGCCCATAACAAGAGATCAACCTCACTATGTGCTTCAAAAGAACCTGCATGTGTTGAACTCAAATCCCTGCTACCTACCTATGAGGTGCTCTCTGAGAATTACACACAGCTGCTCAATTTGTGTATCCCAGAGAGTTGGATGCGCATGTAGAGAGCACAGTTTGCTCCTGGTTGTCCACTTTTGAATACCAATAGCATAGATATATATTAGCTTTATGGGGGATCTCTCTGAAATTCTCCTCCAGAGTATCACACCAAGAAGGTGATAGATAGCATGACTTGTAACTTGGAAAAAATGTAACCAGAAGGATGGCAAAGAGGAAGCAGAGGGACCAAATCACTGCACCTACAAAGAAAGCCTTCACTACTAGAAAACTTTGTATTTCACACAACTCCTAAATTTCATGAGACAAAGGGCAGACATTAAACAGAACCAGCACTGATATTCACTGTGGTATATTCCTTTTTTTTTTCCTATTTGGCAGGATAGCCTCAATTATTTGGCCACAAACACCAGACTTGCACTAGCTGAAGCTGGATGAACCAGATGGAGAGATGCAAAGGTTCCCCTTCATGTCCACGCAAACGTTCACTACCAGGATCAACTGGATTCAAAGGTGCTGAGTTAATAGGCAATCATTTACGCATCAGTCCCCTCCCAGCTGCCTAATGTAATGCAGGACCGGAAAAGACATGGTGTGGAAGCCCTCAGTAGCACAGGCCATATTTAGCTAAGCTGAAATACCAGGAACATGAAGACTCTTCTCCTCAAGCATATTCCCAGGACAATGAAATGAAAGATTTCCTTTCTCTGTTCAGAACAAAAAGTTTTGCTTAGAATATTCCTACTGAAAAAAAAAAAAACAACAAACACCCCAACCCTTTTGCGTGGAAAATTTTTATTTGATTTAAACCAGATTTTCAACAGGAACATGATTATGCTCAGAGTTTCTTATAAATTCTAGTCTACAAAGAACTATAGGATTGTACTTGCATCCAACAGCCTCAAGAAAAGAAAGAATCCCTGCCACATCCATTAGCTTTGGCTGGACAGTGTATTACACAACCTATTCCTGTCTAGCTTTTGCCCAGCTCTTGCTGAGGACTGACTGCAGATGTGGTGAAGTCCTGTAGGACCAGACTCTCAGCATTCTGAAAACCCCACCAGCAATATATCCTCCTAAGAAAATCATGAGGTTCACTGAGGGTGTAGCGAACACACAGATAACTCCTCAAATGCTGTCAGGAAGCAATTACTTGCGCCCACTTCAAGAGGATTCAGGGCAACTTAAGACTTATGGCCAAAGCAACTCATGTGTTCAAAGTTACTTCATATGTGGCTTGTCCCACACTGTCTACTCATTCTGAGTACTATCTCTCTGTTGTACTTCTTGGAGAGAAGTAGATCAGATACTCATTAAAAAATGGGAAATTCTCTATGGACCCAGTTAATGGCATAAAAATGTATCTAAGATTAAGGTCACAATAAAACTTCTCTACAGTTACTTAAGAATTACCAGAGCTTTATGTTTTGGCCTGTTCTTTGCTGACACCATCTCTCAAACTCCAAAAGGAATAAAGCAAGCATGGACATGACTCCCAACTCTGCAGAGTCTGCCCTGCCTGGGAAAATATTCTCTGTCTTTGACAACAAAATACAGTTGGGGGATATTCCATAACTGCAGTGGTCTCTTGGAAGACATCCTGATTTTGAGCATAGGTTAATATAAAAGTTCTGCTAACAAGGTGTTACTAAAACAAACAGGTTTTCCCTGAAAAGGGAGCCCATAAGGTATTTATGAATGACCATAGAAGAGGGTTGGTACAATACCAGCTAGTCTGGAAAATGAGTCAGCTACCAACTTTAAAGGCAGAGAGCTCTGTCTTGACCATCCTAAAGCAAGTGGAGCTTCACTCTTAATTCCAAAGCAAAAGGACCTGCTTCATTCATCCTAACTGCTCAGAAATTAATTTAAACTCATGGACACAACTAATTTTGCAGGCATCTGTATCAGTGCAACAGTTTAATCACCAAAAAAATTCAATGGGTCACTTCCATGAAAAATGTTCTTGCAACCTGGCTGTCATACTGACAATGACTTGGTGGT